AACCGCCGAAAGTGCAGTTTCCCATCTTATCCCTCAAATGTCTGCAAGACAATATGGAGCAACTAATAATGATTTAAAAAATTACCGAAGAGAAAATTAAGAAAACACCCGAAAATGTGTTTCTGGCTTATTTTCATTACAAGGTCGTGAAAAGCAAACATTCAATATTATGAAACATTTTAGGCTATGTTAAAAGTACATGGAATATAAAATATATAAAAAGATTCACAAAACTAGTGCCCTATTGAAAAGTAAATCTGTCAGAAATATAATAAATGCCATATAATTTATATTATTAAAAAATATATTTTTTAACTAGGAACTATTAAATATTACAGAACAAGATACAGAACACAAAAGTGGTTATCAATAAAAGTCCTGGCAGCAAGACACATTTCTTATTCTAGACATATTTCATATCATATAACATTATACGAATATTCTCTGCTTTGCATCATAATTTTACTAAAAGTTATAGATAGGCCAGTCATTATAGCTTTTTTTCGGGAAAAAAATACTATTAGAAGTTTATCTGCGGAATATTGTTCCGAAACGTGTTATAAACAAAATATCAAAAAATCAACTCGAGACTAGTTGGGAAACTTTGTTAAAACAATGGTCAAAATTATGGAAAAGTGGTTTTTTGACTCGCGTAAAAAAAATGTTATCCATAGAGAAGAAAGGTTTATACAAAAAAGGTAGGTATTAAATAAATCTGTAAAATAAGACAAGTCCGATTAAATTCCGATAATTTGTTTATGCGCAAGAGCTCAAAAATGGTTGAAAATGTCCGCTTTTTTCAATTGCTAATAATAATTAATGCAATTTTCATCGCAGACACTTGTAATTCAGGATGTTTGAGGCTTTTTGCACCCTTAATAAGTGGTAAAAATTTCAGCCCAAAAGCTTCATTAGCTTGGCGTTGGCGGAATTTATTATCTAAGAAGATGCTATTTTCAATTCATTTTTCCCAAGTTCACAGGCGTTGTAGGGTTTCAATCATTAGTTGTTTTTGTACCTAAATAGTTGTATTGACATATGCATTTACTGACAATTTAATTTTTCAAATTTAATTTGTTTAAAAATGACTTTGAAAAAATGTTAATATTTATTAAATTGTTAAGCGCGCATGTTCCGCCTCGCTCTGCCCACTCGTTCGCTAGACCAAGTAATAGAACGCATCGCCGCTATCTTCTTTTTCGCAATTAAATAGTTGAATTCACCTTAGTGTTAATGTAGGATATGAAAATATAGCTCTTAATGTGTATACTCTTTCCAAAAATCGGCTCTTAATATTAATAATTAAGGTCACTGCAATTAAATAAAATATATATATATATATATATCAGCTTCTAATCAACTTACAACAACGATTTTTTTTTTAAATTCGAAGAAAACTAACTATTTATTTTATAATAATTACTTATATTAACAATTTAATCAATATTTTAACATTTTTTTTAAACAAGATTTGGCACATACCTGTAAGCAAATCTGTAACTTTCTATAAGCTTACAGAGAATTTGCAGTTCTGCATGGGACTTACAGAAATTCTTATGAAATTGTTTTTTTTTTTTAAATTGAGCCTTATGTCATCAGAACGACTTACAGGATCTTTTTGCAAGGTTAGAAAAAGACAAAATAGTTAGGACAGAATTACTCACTTGAAAATTTAATAATTACGGAATGGAATATAAACCTACCGGAACACGTGCTGGAGGCAATTTCCTGACGTGTAAGAGATTTTGATATAAACACTTGCTAAATCCTATTTCATATTAAGTTTGCCCTGTTTGCTTAATAATATTTTCGTTCCACTTAACTAAAGGGACTTTTTGACAGTTAGGAACAAGAATTAAAGTGCCAATCAATTTGAAATTTAGACCTAACTTCTACTACCTAGTTGCCAATTTTCAGCACTAACCAATAAAAACATAAACCTAAAATATACATACATCAAAGGCAGAGTTTGATTTATGTGTGAATTGGCACATGGTTTCCTAACAAATGCAACACATCGGTGGAAACTGTCCGTTCAGCTTGCTGAAATGCAAATCCCATTAAAATACGGTACACACACAAAAAATTGCATTTGTGAGGTAATTTACCCCTCGGTTATCATCGCAAAAAGTACGCTCGCGTAACGGAAACAATTGTATGGAACGCGTCATATAAAAAGGGCAATTTCCCAGATGGATAAGTTTAATTTGACCCGGAATAAATATCATATTTATCAGGGGGCTTGGTTACACCAATACAAGTTCGCCGAATCTGCATGTACGATTTTATACATACGTGGCAGAAAAATTTAGTATTTGTGAAAAAAATAAACGTGTTTACGAAAAATTTATTGGAATAATTTATTGCGGAAAGATACAGTTTAATAATAATAATATCTCTACCCCTAATTTTAGCCGCAAGGATTAGCCCAGAAGTCGAAGGGAGGGGGCGGCATATTATTATTCAGTAAGCCACGTGTGCGCCCAGGAAAGGCAAAAAATTGCAAATTTTCAAAATCTTGCACAGCAAAAACCAAGGCTCTTAGACATTTGAAAATTTAATCACATATAGAAGGGCTCTCAAGCTTTCAAACGCTTTTTGAAAAATTCTAATCCGTCGATTAGGAGAGCTCTGGCGCTTGTTTAAACATTGGTCGAATTTCTGTACTTATAAACAATTAGAATCACTTTGTGGATATTCAATCAAATCAATTTTTTTAAAGCAGGTTTTAAAAGATATTGGAAAGACGCTTCTTTATAAAAAACGGACCGATTTGTCAATTAGTTACGTAGTTATAGCCGATCAAACATAACCGTCATTTACACTAAATGTACTGGGACATTCGGGCTAATTTTTCGAAAAATACAGAAAATTTCGAGAAATTCAAGAAAATAGTACGGGTGGTGATGGTGGGGGAAGCAGATAGTGCAAGAATGAGGTGTTAGACAAAGCGGAAATTAATAATTATTTTGAGTTGGAAGATGAAGAAGTTGATGAATATCGAAGAAAATAACGAAATCCCATGTAAAAAAGTTCTATTAAATTCTTAATATATATTTTTATACATATAAATAAATATAACATACATTCGTAAATTTAAAACAAAGATTTGTGTACATTTTTTAAATCCTGATTTATTAATGCAAATTATGAATAAAATATTATCGATTTTTTATAATTAATTTATTAATTTAATCCTTATTTCTTTTGTGATCAAGTATAATTCAAATATTATTTATTATTTAAAATATAAGCAAATTTCGAAAAATTAGCCCGGATGCCCCAGTACATTTAGTGTAAACGGTTAATTTTGATTGGCTATAACTACGTAATTATTTGACCTATCGATGTGTTTTTTTTAAAGAAGCGTCTTTCCAAGAACTTTTAAAATCTATATTAAAAAATTTGATTTGGTTGAATATTCACAAAGTTATTCTAATTGTTTATAAATACAAAAATAGCGTTTGGAAGCTTGAGAGACCTTCTATATGTGATTAAATTTTCAAGTATCTGAGGGCCTTGGCAAATTTTTGAAAATTTGCTAATTTTTTTTTCAAAATTTGAATTGCAAAATTATTAAGCAAAATCTATCAAACCGATTTTGATGAAATTTGGTGTGATGATTCTACATAACATGAAGTTTTCTTGAGCCAAGCATAAAGGTCCTATACCCAATTCAGAGTCCCCAAAAAAAATTCCCTAAAAAGTAATTTTTGGCGATTTTTTCGATTTTTACACTAATAATCATAATTCATTCAATTTGTAACTATATAGTTATATTTTGTAAAAAAAATAATTACAAGCATTTTTTTCTCTTTCATTTTCGCCTAAAATCAACTGCTGAAGAGATACATAATTAAATAGGAAGAAAAATATGACATTTTTCAAATTTTTTTAACATATTGTGCCGCCAAAAGTTAGGCCTACGTTTTTTTAAGCGCATAGAAAAGTGTTAATTTCTAGTGATATTTGAAAGCCAAAAAGCCCAAAATCTCCGTGGATATACGATTCACCCAAATATGGACTTTTTGAATCAGATACCGTCTGGACTATTATCTAATATAAATTTTACAATGAAAAATGAATAATTTTTCACAAAATTTGCTTCAATAATTATTTAACAATTTTTGTCATAATATGTAACAACATGTAACAAATTAAAAAAAAATAACAGAATCGACCATCATTTTGATGCAGTACATGCTACTAATTTTTTTTCAATAAATTCTGACACATCATAAAGCTTGTTATATTTTTGTCTTGCTTTTATACCAAACCCATAACTTTTCGCTCCCCATCTTGACTTTCGATCATTATATGTTCAATCATTGTGGCATTCAAATGCAGTCGCAGCATTTTCTGGAAACATCCAACTGTAATTGCAATAACGAGCACCTCTACAGCTTTGTCACGGCAATATTGGATATGTTATTCCAAATGCGACTTGTTGCAGGCACGAACGAAATACGTCATGCTTTATGTACTTACTGAATGTGAAGTTTGCTGCAAAAATATATTATTAGCAACCATCTTATTGTTTCATTGTCTTCTAAAACACGAACAAAGCTCAGGACATTTTTCAGAAGCTTTTGTATGATGTTATAACATAAAGCTGCACTGTACATGTAAAAGGAGCTTTGATACGATCAGCCCTCTGGTCACTTGTTGCTAGTTCACTTAAATCGAAAACTTTTACTCTTCTTAACTTATTTTTTTTTTCAAAAACTGTCGTAAAATGTTCATATTTTAATCCTGCTCAAGCTTTAGTTAACTAGAATGATTTTTTTTGTTCTAGAACAAAATGTTGTTACTTATTAACTTAATTCATAAATTTCAAAATATTTCCTCCCTTTTCGCAAATTTAGCAATGTTTCGAAAAAATATTATTCGACTCCTCAGTTGAAAATGGTTTTTTACTTGCTGACGCTCGCAGAAAAATAGGAAGAATAACTATTGTTGCGTTGACGCAAACTTTGCTATTTATTTTTGGATTTACTTACTGCCTGTGTGAAATTTCTTCAACGGGTCCACAATGGCGAAAAATCTATCAGCCGATAGGGCCGTGAGGGTGAAGACGGACACTCCGACGGAGATGTCCTTGGCGGTTTCAGAGAGCTTACATATGAGCTCTCCCCAGGGCCATGACTCCACCGTGTAGACGACGGAGGTAAAGGGCACGCTGGTCACTATTACCAGCAGGTCGGCTAGAGCTAAAGATAAGATGTATCTGCAAGAAAATAAGAGGAACCATCACAAAATAGGAATTACTTATGTTGCCATAGCATAATTATCGTATTTCTTAATTTTTTAAATTCTATTTCGTGTTAACAGGAAAACTCAGACTTAAACAACATCCTACACTGAAAGAAATGAGCTTATTAAACTGTTTATCTAGAATAATATGTATAGCGCATATTAAAACTTTTATAACCAATATACAACTTTTATTAAAAAAAAGCAATCATCTCCATACTCATTATTCAATCAGTTTAACTGGAAGGTGCTTAATACACCTTATGCATCTATGAAATAAAGGTTATAATGAATTACTTATACATTATTAGGTGTTATAGACTTTATATTCCAGTTGTATAGTAGGGAAGATTTGTTGTATAAAGACCAGTATCCGAATTTGTATATAACAATTGTATTAACAGAATTATTCGTTCTTATACTGAATATGTTTCCGTTTTTAACGTGTAAAACGCATCTTATAATGGTTAAGTGATCGTCACCTCTCGGTGCATAATCGGTTATGATCGTTGTTAAGTTATATTCATAGTCTTGTAATAATAATCATATGTCAGACCCGAGAGCGAAGTGCGCCGACTCAATAAGAAACCTGGCTATTCCAGCCGCTGATTTAGGGTTCGCCGCACGAGCTCATCCCTTCTAAGATTTCAGTAGCATGCTATGCATGAAGCAGAACGGTACTCAACTATCTTATACAGTCCACTTTTATTGTCCATACATGTTCAATCATTGTCAAAATAAACACACAAAACCACAACGTCTTTATTATCTTTACTCAAGAAGAGAAAATACAACAATCGTAAAATTTCCGACAGTCCGCTGTGCATCGACTTACACACGTCTAGTTTGATGAAAATGGACAGTATATGCACATGTTTTGTGGGATACATGATCATATCGCGTTGTGTGAAATGGAAAATTATTATGTAAGTATCTAACTGTTTTATGGCTTGTAATTGTTTTGTTTTTTCAAATGTAAATCTTGTCTAAATCTTAAAAATTATTATTTTGTAGGTCCTATTAGAAATCGCTGATGTTAAGTTTTACATAAGATGGAGGAACAGAAGGTTAACGGTGACAAAGAAAAGCATGGGTATAAAGTCAATCAACCAGAGGAAATAAAATTATATGGAAAGAAGCTCAACCTTTCTGGGGATGCTTCATTCTTAAGGTGGAAGAGTTATAGTGCAAATTCTCATGTAATACAAGAAAATACGGGTGCATCGTTGCTAAGAAAATAAACTGGACAGTTTTGGGAGCGATTTGTCATCATTTTTAATGCTTAAAAGTATGTTTTATGTATGTTTACATTAGAACCTTAGCTTGTAATTACAGTTATCCAATAAAATTTCTGAAAACTTAATGACATATGTTTTTAACTCATACAGAGTATACAACAGTTTAATACATTTATTATTATAAAACTTATAACCAGTACTAGATGTTCTAATAACGATATGGAACACTTTAATAACAGTTATTGCTATTATTTCGTAAAGGGTATAAAAAACGTTGTATACTAGTTATACAATAATTTAATAAAGAATAAGGTTTATAGTCACTATACAACTGTGCTAGCAATACGCGTTTTATATCCAATATTCACCTGTTTAACTGTCACATATAGTATACAATGGTCTTATAATGGTATATAGAATTCGAATAAAGAATAAAACGCATTTCTTTCAGTGTATATTTCTTAATTTAGTACTTTTGTTACTTTCCTTACAACATCACTATTAGATGTCATTATTTAGCTTTGCCTTTAGGTATTAGTTGATCAACTATAGCAAAATCTGTTAAACTGCAATGGAAAATGACAAGGTAAAGAATTTCTCATTTCATTTTCATAGAAACGCAGTTTATAATTTCAAGGTTTATTACATTAAAAAAAAAAACACCCTTTTCAATTTTACTTATCTAAACTACCCTAATGCGTTATGTGTTTTGGTGTAATGTTTATCAAGTGGAGTTAGCGTGTCGTAAACATGTAAATTTTTTGTTGATATACAATTTTGCCACGACAGTACAGTAGGGACAAATAAAGGGACAAGAGAAATAAAAATTATTTTACTGCTTTGCCTTCCGGTATCAGCTTTTACTCATTTTACACACGCTTGCCCTCCTATAAATCTTATTGCTTTCTTTTTAGGTTATACGATATCAAGTTTTATGTTTTCGTAGGTTGTTACGGCCCCCAAAAAATTATTGTACTGTAACGTTTTACTGCTTTCCGATGAATTGAAAAAGGTTACGTATAAATTCTCTAGCACAGACAATTTTTCAGTGTCAACAAGTTTGCATTATACTGTAGAAAATAAAATCAATTTTGGAAATGCGGATAAAGGGGGATGATCTTGAGATTAATGGGGATAATAGGGGGTAATTTGGGGGTAACTAAGGATAATTTAATAAAAGGGAATATGTAACAATGTGTAATAATGACTTTACGACAAACAAAAAAGTTTGATCTTTTATTAATTCAAAAAATAGGTACATTAGAAAATCTAGTAGAATGAGTCACAACATCTACAGGCTGTTACAAATTCGCTTCTCACTATAGGGATCTCGAAAACGGTAAGATATACAAACTAGCTTAAATGGGGGCAAAGTTGCGTAATCAGGGCACCAACATTATGCCTCTAAAAAATTAATTATCGTACACTGTAAGTGTCGTTAGACCCTGTGAAATCCATCTAGCTAGCTACTTAAACTATTACCACCACGCATTAAATTAAAAAATTATTATAGTTTTATTCCCGTGTCCATAGTTATTTCTAGGCTTCCCGAGTGCTCAAAGTTCAAATAAATTCCGATCTATTTTTTTCAGGATATTCATACAAATACATCTGACATGCTCTTTCACAGTTGCGGTTACAGATATAATAAATTCCGATAATATTACGGTTATCTTCATTTTCAATCTTTGCCGAAACGAAAATGTTTTTGAACATTTACTGAAATTTTTTAAAGAATAATATTCAGTTGGCGTTTTGGTTGTTCATATGCATTTTTAAGAATTAATTTGTCATAATAAAATTAAAATTGTAATGTTGGACTAGATGGATTTCACAGGGTCTTACAGTGTACGATAATTCAATAAAAAAATAAATCTAAATAAAAAATTTAGATAAAGGAACGAATACACTGAAGATGAATTTTTTGAGACAAAACGTCTGAATCTGGTTCGGGCTGAAGCAGAACAGTATTGGGGATCACAAAGGCTTGCTAAAAATGTAATAAAATTTCTAGGGTCGTATTTAAAAAAATGAAGTTGATAATGGTCCTGGAGAGACGAAACGTTAGGTACATATAAAAATTGATTATACCATTCGATAGAGGGCAAAAGTGGATATAAGAAAGTGTTCTTCTTTTTTCAATATTACTTCAAACAAAGCTGAATTGAAACAAAAACGGATTTCCAAAATTTCGTTTTTTTTTTCAAATATTTCGAAAACTAATCATGTTAGCCTTGAATTTTTAGAGGCATAACGTTGGTCCGCTGATTACGCAACTTTGCCCCATTTAAGCTACTTCCTACCTCTTACCGTTTCTGAGATCCCTGTAGTGAGAAGCGAATTTGTAACAGCCTGTATATTTAATAAATTTTCACGATATAGTCAATGTCTGCCCAATTTTTTAAAAGAGTTTGTGTCTTCTCTTAATCTAAACTTAATATATCTACTAATTCATACAACAATTCGTAGTTTATTTAATTTTGAACCTATAACTGAATTTGCAATTAACTAATTTCCAAAAAATCTGGCATTGGGGCCAGACAAGTTGCTCTCATTCAGTATGAAGCACTGCAAAGTGTTTGTTATTCCTACAAAAATATTATATAACTTTAGTTTGAAGACAAATGTTTCCATTTGATTGGAAACAATGTAAACTTTGTAAATGGTAAAAGCTAGAATATAGGATGTTTCTTTGAATGATTACATTATTTGGGAATGTAAACGTATCAGGTATGTGTTGTTCTAGTAATTATTTAAACATTTCATTTTTGTTTTGATTGAAAAATGAAAGATTAACGTCAAATAACTTTTTTCTGACACTTGAAACACCTCAGACTCCTCCTAATTTCGACGCAACTGGTACCTACTGCTAAGTGGCGATTGTACTGTATCAAATTTGAAGTCGATACCTTCAACGGTTTTCGAGTAACAATGAGCATGTTATCACGTCCGATTTTTGAAGAATAAAATACCAGACACTACAGAATATTTACTATTGATCCAGTTCTATTTAATACTGTCGATTCTGGCCATTAAAGAAAATGGAACGATAGAATATGAACAGATTTTATATTTATCTAAACTGACGCGGACATATTAAAAACGCAGCTAGAGAGACTTCCACAGAATCGGATAAAGTTGTGCTGTCATCCCGATTTTCTCTAACCCATTTTTATCATTATCTAATTTCCTTCCTTTAATGGCCTTTTCGCCAATCCTTTTCATCAAGTTCCCATACGCATACGCTGACGAGTCCGTTTTCTAGGAAGTTATTTTTCTAATCCTTTCATTTCCTCCCGGATTTTATCGTGACTGGAAAATAGAACAGTGTGCCCTTTCTCACCGTCGCTTGCGGGAGAAGTGTGCCAACGTCTTAGTGCAAGTTTATGTAGGAGCGGCACGCCAAGCCACGACAAAAGCTAGGCGCCTAGCCACGACTATTCAATGTATGTATTCTTATGGAAGTGTTCATAGTGGAGTACTAAAGCCAAGTACTAAACGCTTGGCTCCGTGCGCCGAGCCAGGCGCTGGAGCAAGGAATCTAGCAAGGTATTATTTGAGCGCGGCGCGCTGATCGACGTACTGTTTTTGACTAGAATAAAGATGTTTTTCTCTATTATTATTAGATAGATTTAAAAATCGAACTGGGAATTTTCTTAATTCTGGGTAGAGATGATGAAACTCTCCAAATACTTTTCGTCCCCGGTTTATGGGATGTACAGGCTGGTCCATTTTC